TATTTAGTGATCTTTAATAACACTCTGATGTCTTGGTCAGCCTCCTCAACTGTTGTACCAATTCCTCAAAAAAAAACAGCGACAGCAAGGTATGTCCACTCTACTTTCTTTTCTATTGCTTTTATACAAACCACTCCGTAATTTATTATTCAGAATAAATACAAACCTAGTTTGCCTCTTCTATTTCTTCAAAAGTACAGACCGATTTAACTTTTAACAGCTTTCTTATCCCTAATATGAATTCTCAGACAAAATCAATGTTTGTTCCAGCAACACCTAAATTTGAATGAAGTAGAACTTTTGTAACGAAATGCTTATTAAATAATACAGATTACTCTCTTTTGGTATAATTATTTGAATAATTACATAAGGATCAACTTTGAGCTTACTTTTATATTCATTACAAACTTAGCTGTATAACACATGTAAAATATGAATAAAAATTAAATGCAAAGTTCAAAATGTATTCCTAATTATGCATTTTTAAAAATATTTTACAAATTAAGCACATTCAGTACAGAACTTGTAACAAATGCTTTCTAGTTTCCTCAAAAAGCATGTTTTATATCCCATATTTATAAATTTTTCTACTGCATTTAGGGATTGTCCAACTTGTTTTATTAACACTATAGTTTATTTTTAATATTTGCTAAGACTTTAATCAGAGAATATATGGTTCTCTTTCAGAAGACATTAAATTAAGAATATTAAATGAGTGTTATAAGTTTGGTGAAGCATTTTTAATCCTGACTAAATGAATAAAATACTAAGTGAATTAATACTATAAAAGAAACCTTTATTACTGATAATTTAAAATATTAATGTGAACATTTAGTAGGTCAAGCCTTTTACATTAATCAAAGACACAATATAAGAATGATTAAACATTCTCCTATCAGTGAAGTTTCCATGTCACAAAATTTCTCCCATGTTTCCCTTATAAGCATAAAAGGATGTTTCTCTTTCCTTGCATTCCTGAAGAACAAAAAATCATCTGTTCTTCTTGAGATAGGATGGCACTAACTGCTTCTTTAGAGAGCTGAACACTTGGCACAATGTTTTCTTAGAATTTCGTCAAGTAAGCAGTTAGGAGGGCTGAATAATCACAGACAGTCTGGCTTCTTTTTCCTCATAGCTGTGGAGTCCCAGTGGATCCCAATGTTCCAGGGTATGGAGGCTAGAAGGGGGAGGTCAACAACTAAGCTTTTAGTAGAAGTACTTTAATGTTTTTTTCTTTAAATCAAAGATGATTTAAAATTTTTTAAATTCCAAATTTGATTTTGAATCAAGTGAATGTTATTAAAACAAATCCTTCACTAATAAGAGCTTTCCATCTTTTTTATTTTTTTAGTTGTGAAAGTCTTCTCCTGCCTTTTTCTCTTTTTAGTCATATATTTGCCACACCCAGAGAATTTTCACAAAGCAGATCAATAACACTGTGATGAGATTAGATTATTTTGTGTCCCTTAAGTGAGAAAGAACCTACCCGACCTTGACTAATAATCAAATACACAGCTCTCTGGCCAGGACCCTCAGGAGTGATGGGGGCCCTGTTTATAATCTGCAAAGTTAAAAGGCTACTCTGCCCCTGTCCTTTGTAATCTGATCTCTAGCACCTTCTCCCTCCAATGCAGAGTTCAGAGGTGCTCACAAAATAATGCCTGTACAAGAAATTTAGAAAATAAGTCATGTGAGAATCTGAGGAGTCAAAAAACTTCTCCGAAGTGGTTGTAGTGCTAATCCTTCTTAGGTTAGAAAGGAGTCCCTGCAGGGACAAGGGGAAGACAGCTTGGTAGTGAAAGTGGGAAAGAGAAATTCAGGTCCTCACTCAACTTAGCAGAGGAACCAGAAAGGAACAGACCAGATGGACTGACCCACTGACTTCAAGGAAAGGCCGAACAGAAAAAAAAATCAATGCTAACTCAAAGATTACAACTGGAGTATGAGAAAAACTATGGGGCTAAGAGGTACAGCAAATAACAAAGCACCAAAAGGTGCCCTGATCTTAGCTTTAGGGATAGGGGAACAGAAGGAAAGGTGAGGGCAGAACTCAAGTTCTCGCACTGAACAATAATGTCTGGGTTACCTGATGAAAGCCAAAGGCACTCATTATACTTTTTCAAAGAAAGATAAATGCATTCTTTCTCTAGAACAAATCAACTCTAAATAATAAAGAAAGGAAGAAAAGTTTAATGTGTGGGCTGCTTGCTAGGATTATCAGAGACAATAATAGGCAGGTCACTGTGACTACAATCATGGGCCTATGGTACCCAGAAAAATAGTAAGAATTTTTTTTCATTTCAATTAGATGATAGAATACAAAATGTTGGGAGTCAAAAAAAATCTTACAGATCACAGGTCTACCACTATCACTTTAAAAAAAAAAAAGACAGAATGAAACTTAAGAAGAAATGATTTACTTATGGAATTAACAAAGCCATTTACTAGCAGAACTATTTTCAATTGTCCTGATTTTTGCCCAGTGCCATTAGGGAAATTATTGTCGCTGAACAGAAGAAAGGCATTTCGGTGTTTGCTGCATTTACCTCTGTTTACATTCAACAAACATTTATTAAATATTTAAATACTAGGCAAGAGGCTAGATTCTAGTATCCTCCCTGGAAAACCTTAGAAAATGAGCATAGTGAAGAGTGACAATAAACAAAATAGTGAGATCAGTCAACTAAAATTATGGGCCAACAAATATGAGTCTAGGAGGAACTTTTGATATAAAATTAGAATGAAGTATACAAGTATAATCTCATACCAAAAGAATTGTTGGCTTAAGAAAAAAAAAGTGGGTGAAGGACAGAAAGGGGGCAAGAATAGCAAACACAGCTTGAGTCATATACTCAAGTTTTTAGAACTTTTGCAATGCAGAACAAAACATGGGTGGATCAAATCACTGCAGCTTGTTAACAGTTCTCTGTGGGTCATTCCCTGTCTATATCAGTTGAAATTTTAAGGGGAAAAAGTAAATCTATAAAAGATGTACGTATTTCTCTGCCCCAACTGTCTTTGGAAGTCAGGAACAGCTGACAATTTTAATTTATCATAAGAGAACATTATATAATCATGATATGGTTTCTGAAGGAAAAAAGTAGCAAACATGTCCAACTCTTTTATTAGCTAGATTTGAAAACAGGTGAGAATGACAACTGAAAAATGGAGAGAAATAAGAGCAACTGCTGCAAAGAATAAAAGTATCTTTAAAAAACGAGGCTCATCAGGGTTATTGTTAAGATAGTACCATAGGCAACCTTAAAAATCATTCCTATTTTTAAATTCTGCATAAGTACAATAATATTCACAGAAAAAGATGTGGTACATGTATAAAATAGAAATACAGCAATTTTCAAGAAATACAGGAAAAAGAGGGAACACTTACATTGTAAAAGGGAGTATAAACTTTAACAAGTTCTATGGAAATGCATTTGGCATTATCTTGTGGAGTGTTAAGTTGAGCATACCCTTTGACTAAGCAATTCTGCTCTGAATGTATATCCTACAGAAATAATAGAGAGGACATATATAGGACTCCTAAAGAATTTTCTTTCTACCACTGTATTTCTAGTAACATACACAAACACACACCCACACACATGCAAACAGTCTAAATAGTCATTAAAGGGAAATATAGTGTGGAATTTTCATACAATACTACAATCATAAATAAATTACAAGTATAAGCAGGGAAAACTCTTACAAACATGTTGAGTAGAAGAAAATAGGTACTACAAAAGAAGATAGTATTATCTATAAAAAATTCTAAAACAAGCAAAATTTAACATAGGGAGTAAATATGTGGAAAACTATAAAGAAAAATGTGGAATTTATTAAAAAATTCAGCATTCAGGAGTAATGATGTGATAAAGTGAGGTGTTGGAATCTGGTCTTGGCAGTTAGGGAGCTACAGATACTAGTAATGTTCTATTCTCTAAACTAGTGGTAGATACTCAGTTCCTCAAAGTTATTCTTTGTACCTTATTTAATATTCTTTATTCATTTAGCATTTTCTAAATACTATGGGATTACTTCTTTGTTTAAACAACTATCAGAAATAATCCTTCATTTAACAAACTATTTTAAAGATATTTCTAAGTACCTAGTATGTACTCATCTCTTCTTTAGTTCACGCAGCTCTTTTATTCTTAGTTTACATAGGAAAACTGAGACTCCTGTTGTTAAGTAGATTGCCCACCCCATGTTACACAGCTAGTAATACTGGGATCCAATCCACTGGGAACTCTGATAACCCAGCTTTGAAAACATGATGCATCTACCAGGTAGGACTGCTAAAATGAGTGAAGAAATAAATTTCCAACATGAAAATGAAACAGACTTACTATACTGCTGTTTACGATTTTAATTCATTTTAGCATTTAAAATGATCAGTTTGTATTAATTTTAAGTTGTAGTACTTTGTTACTGCTTCACAATCATAATTTACACTTACATTCTCTAAATTTTAAAACTAGCAACAGATACCAATTACATTTATGGAAAGTGACAACTTCACTGTATTTCTTCTCAAAACTTAAATTTCTCTAAGACTGCAAACTTAAGGAAAGTTAGGTATTGGCAGGCTAAAACTTAGCAGTCTCATTTCACTACAGTCCCCAATCTCACAGGCAAGCAAACAGGCTTGCCAAAAGAAATTATTCATTTCCACCCTCCCTCTCCTCATCTCTCAACCATACTTCAAAACCTAATTTTAAACTCATGTAGGAAACCTGATTAACACCACCTGGCTTTCTCTAGTCCATTAACCCTGGGCTCTTTCAGCAGACATACAATACAACTCATTTATATAATTATTTGTCATCTTTTAGATTTTTCATTGTTATTTTTATTTGTATATGTTTTTTCCCTGTAAGAACAACTGAAAAGAATTTACAAGTTTGTTAGTTCTGCACTGTGCCCTCACTCATTCTTCCCTCCAGGTACCACCAACTTTGCTCTATGAACAGCAGTTACTGTATAAATGCTGATGGACTTACTACAGTGGAACAATTCGCCTCTGGTATTTCTCAATATCCCAGTGAATCCTCCACATCTACAACATGCTGGAGATGATACCAGGTACTGCTAGAGGCTTGGGGTCTTCCTGAGGGTGCCTGGGACAAGAAAAACACAGAGAGAGACCAGAGACAGTCAGGAGAAAGACAGAGAGAGGTAACATGGAAACATCCAGAGGACAGAAGTAAAGAGCTGAGAGAAACTCGAGAGTCAGGACTTATAATATTAGAGAGATTAAGCAGCCAAAGGAACTCAGAGACAAAGAAATAGTCAGCAATCTTAACTCAGGTTTTGATTTTGAAACCACATTTTGGTATCAGTTACTCATGTAATAGGTACCCTCATGTTACTAAATGATGTAATTTACCATTTCAAATTGATTGCTAAGGTTTCTTTTGAACTTTTATCTATTAAAATTAATCTTTACCAGATTTCACCTCTGAACATTATCTGTATTAACACATATAATCCTCAAAACAACCCAGTTGTAAACAAGGTTTACACCCCCACTACCCCCCAATCCCCCCTTTTAGGAAATGGAAGTCAGGGAGGTTATGTGACCTGCCCAAGGTCACAAGCAAATAAATGATAATGGGGGCCCCAAATCTTCAGATTCCAAAATGTTTCCTGATATCCTATGGTGTCTCTATTAAAAAATGGTTATTATATAAACCTGAATTTTTTATAAAATAAAAGTCAAACTTTTATTCAGGATGAAATTTTTCTATCTTATGGGACAATGAAATTCCACTATTCAGGTTACTCACCAAGAATATTTTACTCTATTTCAATTAATTAATTTACTTAATTACTTATTGTGTGGTGCTGGGGATTGAATCCAGGAACTTGTGCATGCTAGCCAAGTGCTCTATCACTGGGTTAACATTCCCAGCCCCTCACTAATAGTATTTTTAAAATATATCAGATAAACTAAATCAGAATAAAAATATATCAGAATGACAGAAAATTTAGAACAGAAAGGAAGTGAACAGTCACTAGGCAATTTTTTTAATACATATTTTTTTTTAGTTGTTGATGTACCTTGTTTTTTATTTATTTATAAGAGGTACTGAGGATTGAACCAGTGCCTCACACATGCTAGGCAAGTGCTCTGCCACTGAGCCACAACCCAAGCCCCACTAGGCAGAACTTTAACCTTTGAAAAGAAAGCTAACAATTTCATAATTTCAAAGTCTTATAATAATTGGGCACATTTTAGCTGACCCGAAAAATGAAAAGATGTTCTGCAATAAATTCTTAGTGTCAATGATGGTGGAATGTGATGGACATTATTATCCAAAGTACATGTATGAAGATACGAATTGGTGTGCATATATTTTGTATACAACCAGAGATATGAAAAATTGTGCTCTATATGTGTAATAAGAATTGTAATGCATTCCACTGTCATATATAAATTTTTAAAAATTAGTTTAAAAAATAAAAGTCAATTACCAGAGTAAAGGACTGGTCTCAAAGTTATTTCTCATGTCTCACCTAACGTTTACACTGCAATCCCATTTCAAGATACTCTATAAAGTAGAATGATTTAATGCATCACTCTTCTAAGCATTAGTATTTTCTCTTGAGGGATACTTATACTCCTCTAAATAATCATGCACTTTTAGAAGCAATCAGTGTAATTGCCAGGAAAGCTCCTTTGATACAAGTGCAGAACATGTTATTGGATTTCACAGCAAGATAAGACAATAAGAATACAAAGAAATTTCTGTTCAATCGTGCATCGATATATTTTCCATCATGTTCAGCAATTTTTAAGCCAGAAATTTTCAAATAAAGCCTAAAATACAGTACTGCTCTGCCCTCTAGTGACAGGCTAGGCTTTGCTAACTACATTTTTGTTTTTATTTCACTTTTGGGCAATAGTTAAGATTATTTTAAAAACTACAGGATGGCTGCTTTTTCATCCGTTGAGTAGTGAAAAGGGAGTCTTGGTTAACTTTTAAGACATGATTTATGGTTTGAACACAATGCAAGAAATATATAAAGGACAACTGTTCCTTTTTATTGGGATGGCCCACCTAAGTATTGTAAATTTTTTTAAAAAATTAAAATATAATCTCTCCGGGGCTGGGACTGTGGCTCAGTGGTAGAGCACTTGCGTGGCAAGTGTGAGCACTGGGTTCGATCCTCAGCACAATATATAAATAAATATCTGTCCATCAACAGCTAAAAAAAATTTTTTTTAAACAAAAATAATCTTTTTTTTTTTTTGGTATGAGGGAATGAATCCAGGGTACTTTACCACTGACTGAGCCACATCCCCAGATCTTTTATTTTTTATTTTATTAGAGGGTCATAGTTGCTTAGGGCCTCACTAAGCTGGTGAGGTGGGCCTCAGACTTGGGATCCTCGCTAGTCACTGGGGTGATATGCATGTCTCACCACAACCAGGTCTATCCTTACATTTTTATGCACTTTTTTGGAAAGGCAAAACATTCCATTTAGTTTCTGTTAAGAACTCTACAAATTTTATAGCTTTATAAATCCCAAATTGGTCAATTCCATTATTTTGGAGTATGACTTATCAAAATGAGTGTTATAGTGAATACCACGTATTGGTGAACAATTATCTACTAATAGAAATAGATTAAAAAAAATTGTTAAATACAAAACTATACTGAATGTAATTTAGCCTTAATTGTTCAAAAGGAGCTTCAGGATTTTACTGAGGGTCAATATAATCATTATGAAATCCGTTATTGCTTTACCAACATGCTTGGAAACATGAATCAAGGATGCCAGTTAACACAGTTGTTATACTGTGAATCACTCTAGTACTTTGACAGAAGGGAACTTCTTTGTCATAGTAAAATGTCCGTCCCTACTATCCCTTTCTTTTAAGGAATGGATGCATTTTCTAGAACAGCATATTTCTACTCTCATTTACTCAGTGTACCACTTCTGTCTACACACTTATGTTAAATATAAGCAATGTATTTGTACACATGGATATAAAAGGGTATATCTGAAGATAATTTATAGGCAGTATGATGTGTGGTTAAGAGAACAAACCCTGTAACCAGACTGCCAAGAGTTTGAATTCCAGGTCTGCCACTTATTAGCAGTATAACCTTAGGCAGCTTGTTTAACCTCTCTGTGTCTTGATTACCTCAGCTTAAAACAATGGGAATAACAAGAGGCACCTATAAATAGTAATGTTTTATCCCTTGGTAGGTGTCTGGGTTATACTGATATAATGCATTTATTAAAATTAAAAGATGTGCCTTTAAGAATTGTACACTTTTGCTAAATGTAAATTTCACACCAAGGGATAAATACATATGCTGAAGAATTTAGGAGGCGGTATAGTTGTGCCTATAACTCATTTTAAACTGCATCAAAACTTCAGTTAAACTGATAAGACATAGAGGGATATATTATCATAGATATGTCATAAAATAAATGTGGTAAAACCTTAATGGCCAAATCTAGGCAGATCATATGAGTAACCTAACAAAATGTCGAGGGAGCATACACTTACTTCTCATCAGGTCCATGCAAATATTAAATATATGTAACAGTGTCAAATATAAAGACTGCCTGACTTACTCAATGGCATACAGCAATATGCTGATTTAAAGAAATGAAAGGCAGGGCTGGAGTTGAAGCTCAGTGGAAGAGCACTTGGGTGACATGTATGGGGCACTGGGTTTGATTCTCAGCACCATATATAAATAAATAAAATATACAATATAAATAAATTAAAATAAATAAAGGTCCTTTAACAAATTTATACATTTGTTGATGAGCATTTTATATATATATATATATATATATACACACACACATATATAGTCATATATATGTCACATATAATATATATACACACACGCATATATATGTATGTGTGTGTATATATATATACATACACTCATTTTATATATATAAAAGAAAGAAATGAAAGGCAGTAATCTATTCTTCCCAAGTTGTCAGAAAAGGGAAAGAAGTAACCAGATACTGAGTTTTCACCCTGAGGTGAATGTTTCAGCTCAAATTTGAAATACATTATCAAACTGCATGGGCCATGTAAAACATATAGTCTTTGAAAGTCAGACCTGAATCTGAATCCAAATTCTTTTAATTAGTCAAGAAGCACAGACATTTTATGTAATGTTCTGAGCTTCAGCTATCTCCTATTTTATAATAGGAATATTGGGTACCTACACCTAAGGTCATTATGAAGATTAGGAGGAAAAAAATACACTCACAGACATATATAGAAACTAGCACATAAAATACAAAAAACAGTGGCAGTTTTCATCATTTTATTTATCATTCCTACCTAAGGATGAGTCCTGCATACCTGAGACCACTTTCTGCAGATGGAAACAAAACTGGCTACACATCTGGTTCTTAGTCTAGAAATCGCATATGCAGGTAGCCCAAATACTCCGTAGAGTTTTCTAAATGATCATCATTTAAAAGCAGGCTTTCCATAAAGTATCACTAAACTTGGTGTAAAAGAAGAGTTGGCAGTTACAGGGAACTCATTATTCATTCCTCTGAATGCCAATTATAATAAATATAAGTCCTGTGGGTGAGGAATTTAGGAAACATGCTCGCTGATGACATTTTAAAGAAGTAACTTCAGTGCATTTGAGGAAATGATATGAGCACCTGGGTAAACTGTGATTTGAAACAGTCTAAGGTAGCATACTTCAAGAAAAAAATAGTAAAACTATATTTATAGAAAATTAGTTCTGCACTCCCAGGAAGTGGATCTGTAAATCATGATATATTACTCCCTGAAGACAGTAACTTGACATACAGTTCCAACTAAAGTCAGACTTAAGAACTTGGCACTGAGAAGGGGCATCTTGAAAACATTTCACAACAGGGCATCTGCCTTGACCATCTATGAAAACTTCTTTTTCCAAAGCTTTATTTACCTGTGGTTAGCTAACCCAAAGCCTCTGCTTTTGGCATTCAGATTTTCTCAACCTTACTTATGGTGAAACTCTTCCCCATCTTCCACAGCACCAAAGGTGGGCTTTTCCCACCACAGATCTGATTATTTTTCTTTCCTTCAAATACTCCTTAACAAATAGGCAAGTGTTGTCAAAAGTTCTATTCT